ACAGTATCACATGCAGGAAGAAGGCTAGATAATTTTAGCAAAACAAAAGAAAACCTCAGGGATTACTGGTGTCATAATCTTGATTAAATTGTCTTGATCTCAGGATTCAATAAGCATGAGAAAAATACAGCAGGTCTTGGCCATGAACACAGACAGGAAGACAGTCCATGACCATAGTACTTGCAAACTTTTCCCAGCAGCCTTCCTCAAACCAACTGTTTTGGTTGTTTCTTCTGTATCTTAAATATATGTAAATTTATCAAAGTGTCAGTAAACACCGAGATTTCTTTAAAGTAGATGTTTCCTTAATGAGAAGCTAACCAGTGAATGAGGTTGGGGGGGAAGGGAAGAGCTGGTTAGGTTTTTGTGACTGTTGGAGCCTCAGGCATCTGTGTACACATTCTCCCTCATTTACAGCTGAGTGTTTCAGCCTTTCTGCTTTTCTTTTCTTCTTTGTCATAAAAGTGTTGAGATTCCAAATACATTATTTAAGATTAGTATGAAAATTTAATCTGAAGGAGGTTCTGGTTTTGCTATCCTAGAGTTTGTTATTACTTGGAAGATTTTTCTGCTGTTGTCATCTCCTCACTTCCCTTCTTCCCTCCTTTTATTATTATTTTTTTCTCACTCATCATCTTCCGTCAGCTCCAGTTACTGTAGGTAGACTTCTATGACAAAGAGGTGCTTTAGGAAAGAGTTCTAAAACTGGTCAGAATAATTTTACAGTGGAGCAATCCCTGGGGGATTTCCTGTTTGTCTGTTCCTTTTTGTACACGAACAGAGCAGTAGAAATCATTGGGAATTCTTCCACTCCTATAGTGAGTGCAGCTCTCCCTTTGTAGCTCTGACTGTGGGTACACTCATCTTATCCATACCGCTAAAACATACAGTGAGTGTCAGCACCAGAAGCTAACCCCCATTTGGAGGCAGTTAAATATATGTTGCTGATACAAAGCGCCTTATCCTGGTAGTCAGGCAGAATAATTGGCTACTTGGTACTTGGCTCATCTGATTTTATACAACATATAATCAAGATCTTATGGCTCTAGAAATTTAATTGAATGGAAACTCTGTAAGAAGTGCCATCTATGCTTTGAAGCTGCAACATGCTGACCATTCAAGAACCCGTACAGTTTGCCATGTAATAACATTAAACATTCACAGGAGAACCATATTTGGAGGGGTGTATTTTCCCAGAAGTAAAGGTTTCAAAGTCCGAAATTTACAACATGAGCTAGGTTGTCTTTCACCTCTGGATTCCTTTGTCTCAATCAATTGACACAAAGTAAAAATCAGACTATGATTATCCATCTGAGAAATTTCACCATTTTAAGACGAAGAGTTTAAAGTCTTCCATCATCTACCTGACCCACCACTTCCTGAAACACAGCCTAGCTTGGGAAAACTCTTCTCTGGTTTGCTGTCTTTTGCAAATCAGCGATGACCCTGGTTCTGCAGTGTTTTGCTTTTACCTTTGTAAATCTGGAGCATCATCACTGATGTCAGCACAGAATCCAGGCCCTGGAACCTAAAGTGAGGTCTTTCATCTTTCTACACCATCATTAAAAGACCTCCTAAAAATAATAGCTTTGTAACTACAGTCCAGCCCACTGAACTGAGTAAAGAATAGTGATAAAATTAGAGCAGAGTATTACAGAACAATCTGACAAGAATCATTCTGAGACTTTTCGCTGGCGTACACTGCACTGGTATTATTAATTTCTGATCAGCTAGCAATAGTACCTCACCCAGGTATACCTAAGCAAGTCACTTTCATTTAATTTGCCTTCTGAAGGACATGACAGCATCTGTACATTTTGAGATGTAATTGCTGTTATCCTTCAGAGTTTTTTGAAACAAACACAATCATCCTCCTGAATTACTGACTTTCCATGACAATTTTTTGAGGTTGCATTGTTCTAAACTAATATCTTTCAGACAGATCCTGAATAATGCAAGAGGATAAAGCCCACATGAAAAAATCAAGAATTCAGAAATGAAATTTAAGCTGTCAAACTTTAACTTAGTTGATCTTCATTCCCTTAATATTCTTCAAGCAAAATCCATTTCATTCTAATTCATAAAGCACGTTACCTTAGAGGCCATAATATCTCTGAATTTTGTTGTAGGTCAATTTTTAAGTTAAAGCGTTAGACATTAAAAAAATCCACATTCTGAGCAGCTATTATGAACCGAATATATGAACTGCTGGCAAAGGTGTGCTCCCTCCTCTTTTTTTTTTTTTTTGTTTTTTTTTTTTTTTTTTTTTTTTTTTTTTTTTTTTTTTTTTTTTTTTTTTTTTTTAAAAAAAAACCTTTCGTGAAAAGGGTTCCCCCCCCCTTTTTTTTTTTTTTTTTTTTTTTTTTTTTTGTTTTTTTTTTTGTTTTTTGTTTTTTGTTTTTTTTTTAATGTTTGTGGAGAAGAAAACAATTTCAGATCCAGTCCTCAAGCTAGACCTACAGACATAAAACAGCTTTTCTCTGCAGGATTTAGAATGGAAAGAGAAAATTCATGGAGGAGATCTTACCATTTCTCTGCTTCACAGAAGTACCCAAACACATCCTTCAACTACATATAAAGTGCAACAGCAGTTCCTCTGGAAATATTTCTGAGTGTCACTTGTTTGCATATTAAGGAGTCTCACCATTCTCAGCAATATGACAGAGCGTGTTTCAAGTTCTTAAGTATTTCTTAGGGAATCTCAAGAAGCATTACGCTTGCTGGAAAAATGCTGTAGAAGGGTCTAGAAGGCCACACTCATGGGCCTGTACACACCGCTAAGGTGAGGCCTGAAGTACCGTGCGGAGTTCTGGTTTCTCTTCTGGATGTCAGCACATGATGTATTTGTATCAGTGAACAAACTCTGGGTTTTGTGGTTATTTAAATGGCAAGGATCAGAGAGCACAGAATATTAAAAATACTTATCCACCATTTTCTTAGAAACTCTTTAATGCTGAGCCAAAGCTGACAGCTAATGACTTCTAATTCCTTGACTATTGTTCTGAAAGTGTCCCAGTCACGCAGCTGTCTGAGCAGTACTGGCTGAGCATTCCCAGTGGGAATGCCAGACCTCTCACGCTGGTGTCTTTCATTAATTCTAATCCCAGTTCCTAAAAGGTTTAGGGGATAGCGTTTAAACTAAAACCATCTCAGAGTACTTGGTTCCCTCCTTTGACTTCTTCTGAGTCTGCCACATCCAGACTGCCCTCAGAAGGGCAGCCGTGAAGATAGGCATGCTAAAGAGAGTGATGTGCCGAGGTATCTCCACAAAAACATTGTCATTGGCACCTCTCACGCAAGAACTATTGGTTTTATTTTATTGTACTTCTGCAAGTGAGATGTGACCCTGGAGAGCTGACAGTAGAAAGTGATTCTACTAGCTTCTACCTGTAGGTCACAGATGAGACTGGAAGTATTCAGATTCAGTTGAGATTTAGGTTGGGACCAGAGGCTATATAAGAGGTAAGAATTCAGATTCAGTGTTAGTACAACCCTCTTGAGGTATGTCCACTGAGATAATCCCATTTCCTCTCTACCCCAACTCTACTTTATATTTGCATTTGCTTTGTTTGGAAAACTGAATGCCTTTTGAAGCAAAATATTTAGCAGGCAGTTTTAGCAACATATAGTGTATACAGCTAGTGTGCATACATTACAGCTGCACCAAACATTAAAATGTAACAGAAGCTCCTCTGGAAATATTCCTGTCTCTGTACATCAATAATCTGCATACCAAAGAGTCCCAAAGCACTCACTAGCATGATAGACTGGGTATTAAGCGGTGCCTAAGTAGCCCTTAAGACAATACACAGAAAAAGCTCTAGAAACATTATGCTTTACTGAAAAAACTCAGGAAGCAAGGATGCATCTCTTGTGGACTTTTAAATCTATTATCTAAACCATTAAAAAATCAGATCTCATGCAATTTAGTTGAAGCTCGGATTAATTCAGGTTTTACTGGATACATGGCAAACACACCTTCTTGTAAACCAATTCCCTTAATTGCTTGGAAAACGACTTTTTTAATTATTAAGCTAATGCAGTTTAATTTCTGCAGGAAATGGAGCCAAATCCATCAGTGTGGATAAAACCTTTAAAAGGGGGTCTCAACATTTAGAGAATAAAATGAACAGAGACTATGCTGATTCTAAGTGCAGTTCTACTGCCCAGTGAAAGATACTCTGCTCACTTCACAGACTACCCTTGTGTTTATTCAGAATCATACTAGTTGGTACAGTCAAAACTGTTCTTGCAGAACATGCATATACATGACACATGCAGTGCAAGAACACTCAAGTATAAGAAATTAGGACTACTGGATCAGACCTCTCCGTTCTCTGCCCAGGAATTCCAAGACGGGCAGAGTTCACCATCATTATGGGTGCCACAGCTGTTGGTCTATTAAAAAACATCTGTGTCACTGGAGTGAGCATCTAGGAAAGGCATTAACTGGCATTCTTAGCTTTGGAGTCTATACTGAGACCCTTAACAGAAGTATTTGATTCTACGCAGCATAAACCTTAGGATTGTGATTTGAAGAGGAAAGATAACCCATCCATCCCTTGCACACATCCACCAGCAGAAGTTCTCTTTCTTTTAGGGACAGTCAGGATCATCTGCTAATGAACAGCTAACTTTGCTGTCCTCATAATTTACCATAAAGCGTGACTGCTGGGCAAACACCATGTGCGAAAGTTACATGCTGAATCCATGGAAAAAAATAGATAGTTTTCTATGGCTTTTATGATATGGTCTTTAAGAGCTAAAGACGTTTACTCTTCAGAAAGGAGCAGACTAGGACCATCATTAGTTATGCTTTTCTGGCTTATCAGGCCTTTTGGCTGTTCTAAGGTGCATGCCTGTGAGGGTTAACTAACGTGAGGTGAAATTTCTTAGCCTGTATGGTCAGAATGTGTAACCTCCACTTGACTCCCCCTTGCAGTGGGAGAGTACGCACTTTCTGTTGTTAGACAGTTAGAGATTTGTATTTAGTGTCCTACCTGCAACGGATTTTGTGAAGTAAGAGGAGATGGAAGGCCATGCCCTGGTGACTGGCTGGGTTTCTGAGGGGAGCTGGAGGACTGTGGGGCCGGAGGCGGTTGGCTCTGGCTCTGGGACTGTGTTTGGTTCTGCTGTGGTGGTGCTGACGGCTGTGGCTGTGGCTGCTGGGTTTGCTGGGGTGGCTGTGGAGTCTGCGTCTGCTGACCTTGCTGCTGCTGCTGGCTTTGCTGCTGCTGTTGCTGCTGCTGACCTTGCTGCTGCTGCTGCTGTTGATGCTGGAGCTGCTGAAGATGCTGAAGTTGTTGAAGCTGGGAGTTCAGGGATGAGGTAGCTGTAAATGGAAGAGAGGGAAAGGAGTTACGTAGGTTTCAGTAATACCTACTGTGCTAAAGATATTCCAGATTAAATTTTGGTTCTGTTACATTTTGGGGCACACTGCCCACTGAGCTCAGCTGGCCTCAGACTTCAGGTTGTGGCAGGAAATTAATGAACACATTGCCATCAATAATAGCCCGTGGTTCTGCCAGTGCTGTTCTCTGGGAAGAGTCAGACTTTACTGGAAGCAATGAAAGCAAACCTTCGGGAGGGCTATCGCTCTGCCCACAGGACAGCCCTCAGAGCTGACCAGCAGGTTTTGCTCACACAAGCTTACCAGTGAAGCCAACGGGATTTTTGCCCGCCTAGAGAAGAGGCCAACAGGATGTCACTGTACATAGCATAGCAAGAACTCAGAGCACGAACCGGTGCTGTTATATAGAGGAGGAGCAAACCATAGCTGTAAAACATAGGATGCTCTGAAAAGAGCTTTATCACATCCTTATACAGCAGGTGTCAGGAAAGAAAATATTTAGCTGTGAAATTTCTGTGCAATGCATAGGTAGCAAAAATGCTCAGTAAAATGTGTGGTTCGCTGAAATTAGCACTGTTTCTTACAATTCACATCTAAAAGCTATGAAGTTCCTCTTGTGAAATAGGGTAGGTAGTCTGTGCACTTGCACTGCTCACTTACTTCTGGTAGTAAAAGTCTGTTGCGTTTTGCTAGCATGTGCTCCAAACATGAGGCTTGGAAACCAGTGGCTCACATCAACTTGCTGGCACAGAGGAGCAAACTTTATCTCCCAGAGACACTTTCAGATTGACTAGGGCTTTCATTAAATTCAGGAAGGCAATAAGTGTGCCACAGGCATGTCACTAAGGAAGAACAGCTTTAAGCAGCAGCCAGAACATCACAGAGGCCTGATGTTTTCTGGGGTTATGCCCTGAATAAGTTACCTGGGTCTCCAGCCTTACCCACTCCAACAACATCTTAGGGTTTGAATTAGATTGCTATGAGATCCCAAGAGGAACAGCTTACAAGATCATTGCACTACTTTGCCCTCTGTACTGCTTTGCCAACACGATTCTGTATTATAATTTCCACCAGCAGAATCCAAAGTGAACTGGGTGTGAATCAAATTTGTTATTTCTAAAGTGGTATTCAGATTTCATGGCCAGAAACACTGTTCACCAAGTTATTTGTGGATTGGCTGATAAAGCCAAGTCATCTCCACTTTCTTCTCATGTCAATGTGCCTATTTCACCTTTCCAGATGTCTATGCCCTGGGGATGAATGTGAGGTCTTGGGTATGACTTAGGAAATCAATGAGCCATAAACTGGAATAAGCAAAAGAAAAAAGACAAGAAAAAGGAGAAAGATGAGGCAGAATGGGTGAGCCAGAAAAGGCTGCCTGAATAAAAAGTAAAAGGCTTGGTGAGAAGAGCTGTTGGTCATCCATTCCTATACTCATAGCTGCTCTAAATTTCCTTTCACCAGAGGTGGGAATCAAGCTGCAAATCTGCCTTTGCAAGAATTATAGTCATGTGTATGTGACTTCAGCAAAGAAGCTGAATAATGCAGAGAAGCAGGACTGGTAACACCAATATATTCCCTTCAGGAAAGTTACTGACGGAAGTTTTGCGTTTCAACATAAAATAGAGTGACCATCAGATTGAAAACACGCATGGTATCTCACGCAAAAGAAATCAGCCTGAAGAAGAAGGGTACGCTCTCATCAATTCCATGATCAGAACTGGTACCTAAATGCCTCAAAGACAGTAGTAAGTGGACACATAATCTAAGGCATATGAGAACAGAGAATGGAGAAGTTGTGTATACAAGAAAGCAACTGCATAGACAAATATTAACCATAGCATGAAGTACCTCAGATTGCAAGTAATACCATTCAACAATTTTATCTGTAAGTATGTACACAGAGGCGGAAAGACTCTTCTCACTCCCATGAGGAAAAAACTAATCTAGATCAGCTCTTTATCTTGTGCAGGCCATTTCCCCACCTGTGATAGCTTAGCAGTCTGGACAAACCATTGATCACCAGAACGAAGACTTCGAACACTACATGCCCTTACGGCTTCCACAAACTGCAATACAGAAATGAATGCATTGATGCCCCACAGAAACATAATTTGTAATACACACGGCTCATGGAGAGGAATGAGGGGTCGTTTCGTAGCCTATGTGCACAACAGGACGGGATAAGACAAAACTTCCTCTGTAGCAAACTAGATATAGTGGGGTGTTTTTGTACTGCAATGGTCTCCAAACCCTTTTGCTCCCACAGGGCACTCTTAAAGGTCATGGCATTTTTGGAGCACAGAACATGTTTGACTCCTTGAGGAACGCCTTTCAGCTGGAATTTGGAAAATATGGCAAATAATTAAAGGTATGCTGGAAGTTGCTGGTTGACGGTTGGACTTGATGATCTTAGAGTTCTTCTCCAACCTTAATGATTCTATGATTCTATTCTGTGATTCTAAGCATCAGCCTGAGATAATGTGAGGTAACACAGGATGGAGGGATCACTGTAATTCTGATAACATAAAAGTGCAAAACCAGGGCAGCACTAAATCTTTGTCAAGGACCTTATGATTGAACTTACAATATGCAGAAAATATCTGTGGATATAATATTAAAGATAAAAGCATCACTGCCTGGACTTCTTAAAATGGTGGCATACAAGACATGAGGAGAATAGTTAAGAAGCCTAAAATGTAAAATACATGTTTCTTGACAAACTAAAGCAAATGGAGTGGTGGTTACATTACATTGCAAAAAGTTTATTATTTTGTGTGTTTGCATGTAGCTCAGAGCAATCAGAAGACTAATATTTAATAATTATTTGTATTAGTGTTCACCACAGAGCATACGACTTTCAGGATGCTTTGACTGAAATGTTGCCAAACAGTGACATAAGGAGCCTTGCAAAATTACAGAGCCTAAAGCACAGATACAGATATACAGAAATAGCACTGATCGGTTTGTTTACCATCGGACAAAAATCCACGCTTACTGAAGTACGGTTTTACAAAATGTATGAATCTGCTTAAGCAAGAGAGATTATATCGTTGCACTTGTTGGGATTTACTTGCTAGAATAGTCATCCTAGTGGTGTAGGCCTCAGTTTGAATAACTTTGATCGGCTGTAGAATTATTCCTAAAAACTAAATCTTCATTAAACTTACATTCTGCCCAAGACTAATACTCTGCTTAATGGACACTTTGATTTGCATATTCTTTCTTCTGCCAATACATAAAGCAAGGGACAGAATCCAGAGGGAAGAGAACGGGGGAAAAATGCCTCGACATTTTTTTTTAACCCACAATTTTGCAGGTTCAAGTTCTACTGAGCTGCTAATGTAACCAACGTCGAATGGCCATCAGCAACATACTTCTGTGTACTGATAATGTAAGCAGGTGCAATCGCTCAGGGAACCTGATCCGTCCGATGAATGAAGAGGGACTGAAGCTGACTTGGAAAACACAAGTTTGTAAATTCTGTGGGCAAGGCCAGCACTTGCAGCTGATGGCTTGATATGGAGAGTTTTTCACTCCCCATCTAGGAGCAGAAAAGCTTTGCATTCAGTACTGCTCAGTACTGTTCAGGGCCATCAATATCTCTACCATTCACTTTTGTACCAGAAGTGCACTCATTCTTGCTGGGGTGGAAGGCGGTCCCTCAGGGAAAATCTTATTGGTGGAGAAAAGTTATTTCATGGAAAAGTTCCCAAGTTCATAGCCAGCAACTGCACAAAATTATTCAAATAACTTCTTTCCTTTTCATATAATTTGTTTAAAAAGCCTCACCGAAGCCTGCCATCCCGCTGAGCTACAAGTTGCACTGAAGTGGCTTGGTGAGGTGTGATTGTTTAACACACAGCTGCTAAACAAACAGATAGGGAATTGGAAGGAGGACTGTTAGATCAGGCAAGGCTTTCCCAAAGCCACACAGCGGGCGTACTGCAAAGGTGGATTTAGGGCTCCGGATCACGCCTGCAGTCCAGTGTTCGCGCTGCCTGATCGCACTGCCTCTCACAACATGAGCACTACCCGCAGCAGGGGTTGTGTCATATTATTGTTTGTAATCAAATCCAATCCAACTCCCAGAGCTTGCTTGCATACCTCATCCATTATAAATCGTATACCTGTCTAGCATTTGTCACTTTCTGCAGAGCTTGGAGCCTGATGGAATTTCAGGTGGTACAACTCTGCTATGTCTGCATGTATAAAAGATAACATGCACTGCTTGCCTCACAGGGATCTTTTTATGACTTGCTGGCTAACAGCTGGGTAAAACTTTTGACATGTTTAAGTCAGAAATGCCTACTTTCTTTCAGAACTGCATTCAAGAATTAAAAAAGCTTGCAAAAAATGCAAAAAAAGTTTCTTTCTATGGTGAAAAAGACAACATAAAGTACATCACTTTAAAAGGGAGATAATTAACTAAAAAATGCATGCAAGCTCTGAAAAACTGTGAGGAAAATCCACAAACTGTGTGCGACATTTCAGCTTTCCTCAACAAAAAATACAGGTTGAATATATACCAGGTATCCAAGAAGCTGGTGAGAAGAACTTACACCTACAAGGAAACAACGGCATGATGAGTTTTCAAACTTCAGTTTTAACTATAATTTCTTGGTTGCTGCAGTTACATGGCAGACTTCCCAAGGGATCGCTCCATGTTTTTTGATCTTACTTTAAGCAGATTATGCTTAGCCACAGCATTAAAGCATTCACGTTAGAAGAAGAGATACAGAGTTAAGTGGTGTAAATGGGTGGTCAAGAGACAGTGAAAGCAAACTTTCTGATCTCTCAGGTCACCTATTTCTACACTCGTCACCGACTTCAGACTACTTTAAGGACTTAGATAAGGTATGATCTAAGGAACACACTCCTTGACCTCCTTTGGGGAATACCTTAGGCACCATGCTGCTTTGCACTTACAGTATTTAAATAAAATGTTGTCTTTTCACATTTTCCTTTTGTGTCTTCTGTTC